AAGGGGCAAGGGTATGCTGCACGAGTTTGTCCCGTCCTGCTCTACGGTGCAGAGACTTGGCCTCTACGAGAACAGGATAAAAATAGATTATCGGTGTTTGAGCACCTGTCTACGTGGCATTGCACGAGTCTAGTGGAGTAACCGGACTAGCAATGCTGAGGTTTAGCGTAGAGTTTTAGGCAGTCGTGGTAGTCCACTGGAGCAAGTGATGGACCTCCATAGATTACGTTTGGTTGGGACATGTGTTACGCATGTCACCTGATAGGTTTCTACGGCGAGCGATGTTTGTCAAGGCCCGTAGCGGTTGGTAAAACGAAGACCTGGCATGAAAGTATAAAAACCCTGACCAGGAGACTAGGTCACATAGGCCGCGTTAGGCTCCCTGGCTGGGGACCTCGGGATGATGGTCATCGATGGTTAGCTACACTGAGTGATATGGCTGGATGTCGCAAACAGTGGGGCTCGTGCATCCGTTCATTATTCCCCGAACACCATTCTCAATGAATTCTCCATCTTCCGCTTGAATTTGCTTTCAACATTCCAATCTTCATTCTACTCTTTTATCCAAATGGGGCACCAAAAAACAGCAACCAAATCCGGCGCACGAAAGTACGAGGTTGATGGTTGTAAAAACTGAAACTGATAAGTGAAACATTGCTCGTTGGGAAATTTCCATTGGAAATCTCTCGCCAAAATTTTGAGTTTGGTGTAGTCAACAAACATACAGAAGCGAACCGTACGTAGTGTCCTGTGTTTGGACTGGTCCCGTTTCCTTTGGACGTCGTGAAGTGCTCCTATTTGGCTGAATGTCAATTATTCTTTGCTGGTGATGCCTTTCTGATTGTATTCACGTGGTGCTTTTCCACCTGTGAGCCAACATCGGGGGTTGCATTGGCAACTTGGGGCACTTGATCTTGTTCAGATTAATCGGATGTTTGTACGCACCATCCCACTGTCTAACGGATCAAATGTTGGTTAGCAAAATGCCCCCTGGCTGTGAATTTCCGCTGAAGGTCCGACCTGCTTTGACCTGGTCGACCTGGCATTATTCCGCCGACAAGCAATTCGTGGAGCAGCTTTTTTGATTACAACGGCTATTGTACGGCAATGGGTGGGTACATGGACACATGTGTACACCTTATGATGCAATTAGAACAACCATAACGCAACATTCCGATTGACTATAACGAAAACGAGTAGTAATTCTGATGATTATAATGATCATGCTCATAATTTTTTTTACCTTATGTACAATGCTGGACGGATATTCTACTTTTATGAACGACGGCTTTCCTAAACAGGACAAAAATTTCTACTTTTGTTGAGATTGAACCTCTATCACCTTGTCTCGTACCGTGCGTTTTTTGGCTGATGAGTAGCTTTGCCAGTTATGGACTTCATTAGTCACCAGGAGAACCTTCGTTATTTGTTCAACAGTCGTAAGATTGAACTTCTGCTGAAGTATGATTGAATCTCACCCCATAGATAGGACATCCTGCGTAGCTCGCTGAGTCGTGGTGGTGGCGATGCTATACATCAAACTGTATTCTTCCTATTGATGATATGATGGTTCTGATTGCTGGGATTCATTTTCTTTTACACCAACAATTTGATGCTGCGTTATAATTCGACTTCACCTCTGATTTCGAGCAGTTCATGTCACCTATAGTTTTCAACCGAATGGTTCATATTTTTCTTTTAACGGATTCCTACAAGTAAATGTTTCTTATTTTCTTTTGATGGGTTTCAGATACAACATCCTATACACTTCCATTCGATCTTAAGCTTTACTGTTGTGCCCATCTCGCCGTTTTGAGTTTCACTCATTTAAGCCACAATGTGACTTATAGGATCTCAAATTACGCAGTACTTTGTTATGACTCGGGTCCCGAAGACTCGATTAGGATTTTTAATCCCATCTTTGGTGATAGACTACTTTGCTGTCGTCCGGTTCNCGGTTCTATACCACGCGTGATCTAGCGGGGCCTTATGTGGTTCGTCACTCCAACTGCCGTGTCTGAGGTTTCCTGTTACCATCACTGAACAGTAGGTCCTTACGACTATGGGGTCCACTCCGTCTACTGTCTATCGCATACTAATGTGTAATAAAAAAAGCTCTGCCCCCCCCCCTCGGGACAATAATCTTTCCCTGAAAGACCACGTGTATTATATATTATTATAGTACTATAATTGTAAAAATACGGCCGCTCTGGGCTCAGGATATCCATCGCCTGTTAGTGTTTGGCATCCGCTGTTTATGTAACAATTCATGTGTATGATGGAATCAACTCCTCAGTACTGATCAATTACGCTAGTTTTCGGCACCACCAATTCCAATTCACCTCTTCATATCCACGAATCGGTCATGCGTTAAAAATGTTTTCCACTCTGCGCTTCGTTTGTTCTATCTGAGGGCGACTGAAAGAATGGGTGTAGAGGCCAAACAACAATGACTTGACAAAGTGGAACGAAATACCGAACGGAATTCTTGTGCCGCTTAGATCAGACTAGGTTCCCCGATTGAAGATCACAAGGCCGTATAAATTGTAACAGCATCGGGCATGGCTTGAAACAAAACTCAGGGGTCGTTTTTGCATTTATTTCAGCGTAACCATCGATGTTGATCTAACCGAAGTATGCACATCATCACGACGAGACTGCACCTTAACGCGGTATGATGGCTTGCGTGCCTCCATGACCCTGCGAGCTACACAGGATGGCTTTTCACAGCCGGAGATCCACTCATGCCTGAAAGGTCAACGGGTA